TATATATATATATATATATATACACACACACACACACACACACACACACACCGTAGCCAATGATTGCGAGGGTCTGTCTGTTATTCACATATTTATGAATGAAATACATCGCGATGGGCATTCCGACACCAAAATGTCACCCCAGCGGGCACGTCTCCGAGACACCCCCTTCGACCGCGTCATTCTGCCAAACTGGCAAACACACAATAGCAGGCCTGGCCGGGATCCGCGGCACGCAGGCTCTGTCGACGAGAAATAAAGCCTAAAAGTGGAGAACATATAAACGTTAAATGAAACACAAATCAGGTTTGTGGTTCATGACTTCAAACACCAGCTGGTCCCGTTTTTTTCTTTATTGGTCCACTCACTACCTAGTCAATGGGCATGTGGGCTGAGCTATCGTGGCATTGTAATATTCATACCGCTTTTGTCATAAGATTGCAGAAATAGTAGCTCATAACCAAGCTGCTGTCTTGAACCTGCGGTTACGATATAACCATGTCAAATATACCGGTGTCCATCTCAAACGAAAGCGTACGAGCGCAGGTTATAGCTCTATATTTTTGTCCTACTCCTACTCGTCGCCTTGGTGTTGCCCACCTTTGTTCAAATGCGGTGCACAGGCCTCATGGGTAAATGGGCTTACACTTGCAGAAGCTTTTCCATCTTCAAGGCACTCAAAGCACTTTAAGTCTGTCTTATTACACAACCGGGGGGCTCACTATCTTACTCAAGGAGACTTCAGCATGGTCACAGGTGCTCAGGAGACGGCCCGTACCTCTTCTCGTTTCATTTTCGCTCCATCTGGAAAATTTCCCTGACGTCAAGGTCCGTGTGGACACTGCAGTCTTTGTGTGTGTCTTTGTGTGTGTGTGTGTGTGTGTGTGTGTGTGTGTGTGTGTGTGTGTGTGTGTGTGTGTGTGTTAATTCTGTTCAAAACTTGGTAGCCCAGAATGTTTCATCTGGCCACTGTGACTAGAACAATTTACTGGACAGTGACCCTTTTTACTCCATATTTTTGTTCTTATTTTTTTACATTGTGTATGCAAAAACATATTTATGCTCAGATTCCAATGAAAGAATGAATGTAAAGCTAATGTGATGAAAATAAATGTCATGGTAAAGGCACATCTGTACATCATGATTGTTTTCATTTTTCTACTTTCTTTAATAAAGGTGGGAGAAAAACAGTATGCTGCAGATTGTCTTATGTTGGTTACGAAAGTGAAAGAAAACACACCAAGCCAATGACAAATAATGCTGGAGTGGTTGACGATTTCCAGTCGTGCGTTCCCACTATGCTTTCTTTCTCCTCTCTTTATCTGATTATGTCTCCCCTGCCCTCACCAAATTCTTTGGATTTTTAAACGGGATAGAGCATCAACTCACACGGTCGACTGATGTGGACTAAATTGTTGTGAGCCTTTCAATATAGAAAGGAAAACCCGTCATGGCCACTGACTTGAAAATGACTGCACCGGAATTTGCCCCCGAATATTTATGGAGAAAAAACATCAACATGTCAGAAAATTTGGAAGTAAATCTGAGTGGGAACTTCTTCTTCTTCTTCTCCTTTCGGCACGTCCCTATTCAGGGGTCGCCACAGCGAGTCAGTAATTTCCATCCGCCCCTGTAAACCGTCCTACCAACTCGCATGGTCGTCTTGGCAAAAGTTTTACGCCGGATGCCATTCCTGACGCAACCCTCCCCATTTCTCCGGGCTTGGGACCGGCACTGGGGAACAGTGCACCCCCAGGGGAGGGCACTGCCCCCCAGCGGCTGGGTTGAGTGGGAACACGCCCACACAAAAAAAAAAAAAAAAGATCTGAAATATAAAAATGAAATACAGAGCGCATTCGCACATTCTCCATTTCATTCGTATGTTTATAGTGTGAAAGAGATGACAAGTCAGTAAACTATGCCAAATTGTTGAATGCGTGACGTGAACGGAAGAGTGTTGCTTTTCACTGAAAGGGATGGGCTCTGTTGTTTGTGAGAAGGAGCTTCAGTGACGTGTGGCGATGTCCATGTCTGGAGAGGCACCGACTCTGAATGCAAAACAGAAGGTGAGCCTATATTTGAATTTTGATGTTGTGTTGGGATCGGACGTGACATCAAGTGCACCGTCCCTTGCACCCACCAGTTGCTGTTGAGTGGTGGGCCAATGTTTCACACCATTTGAGGGGTTTAATGGAGTTGAAGATATCTGTAACATCAACAATGTTGAATCTTCAATGAACCTAACGTGCATACGTTTCAGCAAATTCTTGGAGAAACCCAAAGCAAGCAAATGCAAACCCCACACACATGGAACTCAGTTCTGAATTGTGAGGCGGATATGCTTACCACGAACAAATGTGGACAACATTCTGCTGCCCCCTAATGTCCAATTAAAAATATCCTTGCACCAAGTACTTCTTCCTGCGCATTTTTGCGTGATATAATCATCTTTACCTGCTTGCCGTTACTCACATTTTATGCTCTGTTATTTTATCTTATATGAAAAAAAAGCTTTTTAAAAATACGGGATCGGGTACGAGTCAAACAACTTTGATTAAATTAACATGGAAACTGTTTACATTTAACATTAAGAGCAACACTATTCTCTCTGTTATCATATCCTGGCAATAAACAACATCACTGGCGTCTTTGTGCTTCAGTATCGGCGTGTTCGTCACTCGAGAAATTAGTAATTTCCAACAACCCTTTTGTTGTATTTTTAATACAGAAAAACAATGGAAAATAATGTAAATAAAGGCACCGGTTTTAGAAAGCTCAATATTCATTCATTCAATTTATCTTTACAAAGGTCGGGGGGGTTGTTTGCTGGACCCTATCCCAGGTGTCTTAGGGCAGTAGGCAGGGGACACCCTGAACCGGTTGCCAGCCAATCGCAGGGCACATCGAGACCACATCGGGACCTCCGCACTGTGAGGTCGACGCACGAACCACTGCAACACCGGGCCGCCTCAATCAGAATCAGAATCAGAATCATCTTTATTGGCCAAGTATGTAGAACACACAAGGAATTTGTATAACACGCTGCATTGGTATCATCATACTAAAATCAATATTGTTTTTTTGTTTTTTTTTGAAAGTGAAGTTGCAAAAAAAAAAAAAAGATAAAGTCGTCATCACACTACCGCTTTGATTGTCCAATCAAAATCGAGAAGAAAGGGTGTATGATTGTCCAATCAAATGCGAAAAAGAAGGGTGAGGTTTGGTAAAACGAACCAATAAGCACCTCTCACAGCGATCAGGACCCACCTCTTCGGAAGGAAGGAAATAAACATGAGTTACCACTACGGTCAGGTAGTATATGTTTTTATCTTTCTTGTGTGTGTGAAACTAGAGTTATCTCACCTCTTACGTTTTTACTTGTACGTTTTAACATTTTTCGCTACAATGTTAATTCTTTTGAAGGAACTTTCAAATGTACTCGTTAGCGTGTGGCTACACGTCAGACAAATTATGGTCGAAGACTTCAGAGGAGACTAAGTAGAATAAGTAGAAATGGAAAAAAAAACATTTAGCTTTTCATATGTCATGTTGTAATTGATATACTCTATGTTCAGTATGTTTGGGACAGCCGACATGTAACTCCTACATTGGATTAGTAGTGGATTAATCCCATTCATCCATCGCGTTTCTATTAGGGTAGGGGTCTATTCGTCCCATGAATTCTGCCATGCACTCTCTTGTAGGGCTATCCAGGGGCAAGACACCCAGCACCAAATGCTCCCTATAGCGGAGCCGGGGCTCCGTATGGATCTGCACCCTCAACTCCATACGGCGGTGCAGCAGTTCCACCAGGAGGCTACTATGGCCCAGGACAAGGGGGTTACGGAGGCCAACCTCATGGAGCACCCTCTCGCCATCCTCCTCCTTCAGGTGCTTACCGCTGCCTTTGTTTATCACTCCTCTTTTGTTCTCTGCGCCTCACATCACCTGCGGTAAAATGATGGATGTGAAATGAGCACCACACTGGCAGGTTCACTTTGTCCCCCCAACCCCCAACAAGATCAGCCTACTGAAGCCTATGATTAAAGCCATCAGGGTACAGCTTGAAGTGCCACACATCCTTTTCCTTCCTCATATTTTTCAACAGTTTCTCGGCCCTTGTTCTGTCTTCAGGGAATATCCCCCCCGGTGTCAACCCAGAGGCATACCAGTGGTTTCAGAGCGTCGACACGGACCACAGCGGCTTCATCAACCTGAAGGAGCTCAAGCAGGCGCTCGTCAACTCCAACTGGTCCAGTTTTAATGATGAGACTTGCCTAATGATGATCAGTGAGTCCTCCATGTCTCAACATCACAACCAACATTAAACTACAACTAGATCGATTTCAAATATACACGAATGTCCTTTTAGACATGTTTGACAAGACAAAGTCAGGCCGAATGGACCTTTTCGGCTTCTCAGCGCTGTGGGACTTCATGCAAAGGTGGAGGGCACTCTTTCAGCAGTATGACAGGGACCGCTCCGGATCTATCAATGGCACAGAGCTCCACCAAGGTAACCCTCTCTAGAGATTGTGTGTCACCCCAAGAACTGTATCTCATCCCACCTGGCGTTCTCTCGTCTACCCCCTTAGCCCTCGCACAGATGGGCTACAACCTGAGCCCCCAGTTCTCCGAGTCACTGGTGCGGCGCTTCAGCGTGCATGCCGCGCGTCCGGGCATGCAGTTGGATCGCTTCATCCACGTCTGCACCCAACTGCAGAGCATGACGCAGGTCTTCAGGGAGAAAGACACCACCATGACGGGCAACATCCGCCTTAACTATGAGGACTTCCTCTCGGGTGCCATCACCAGGCTCATGTGAACGTAATTCGGCCCCCCCAGATGGCAGTTTAGCATTTGACATATCAGCCAGTACATCCTGTGACTTGTTGCTCTAGCGACATGAAAGCCAAACTAGAGACGACTGTGTCATTTTAAGTCATAACATTCAAACAACTAATAATGTATTTTACCGATAGCAGGAAATGCTTGCATCATCACCACAGGTGCCTTTCTGTTTACTATTTCTGGCCGCATTTTTGCTTTAACATCCTATCTCAAGGCTCAAAGATGTTTATTGACCATCGTAGTCTCATACACCTGATAGGCACTAACTATCCTTCCCTCATTCACGGCCTATTAAACTGTGCAGTATTTTACATTAGTGAAAGATTTACATATGGATAGTAAAGTTGTCAACATGGACCAAAGACATGTTATCTCATCAACTCCTACTTGTGAATATTTTGTGATCGTAGGCTTTCACATGTCCTCTGATCCCACAAAATGTATTTTTGCACCTTGATACCACTGCATTGCCGACAATTCTAAAAATGTTGATCAAAACAAGGGTGTTTCACACAAATGTGCCCTCTGCCTGTTTTACACAACTTATTTTGCATTCCATTGAGGTTTATGTTCTACTGAATGCCAAAATGATGATGGTGTTAGATGGTGGTGTTTCCATTACATTTGTTCATGGTATAATGAAAAACAATCAGCGTATTAACATTTGCGAATGGCACTTTTAAAGGTACTTGAACAAACCTTTTAAAATAAATAAACATATACAAAGCCCAGATTTAGCTTATTTTTTGTGTTGTATTACGTTTAATACCCTCATTAAGGCTCAAATAGATAGATACCTTTCGCAGTTTCGTTTCCCTTTTCAATGTGCTCTCGCTTTGGCCGCTAGACGGTGCTCGAGATGAGCAAAAACGGCGTAACAACCGCTTGGTTGAAACGAACAAGACTATTCAACCAATCAAGTCACAATCAGGAAGTTCACCGACTGCGGCACCAACGCGAAGTTTTAAAGGTGAGTCAAATGACATAAGCAATGGTCTTGTATCCAACAACCGCAGTGATAATCACATAAGCAATAGACGTCCACCGGGCGGCGGACCTTTGCAAAAACTGGTGTAAATTATAGGACGATATTTTCGGTTTCTCCTGCTCATCACTGTAAACGTGAATCGTGCCCATAGTTAATTTGTGGCACAAAAGAATATTTGTCGGCTGGGTAAGTATACAATACACAAAGATATAGGTGATCCAAAATTAAAAAAAAAAATAAGAATGTGAATGGTAAATAAACATGAAGGGTTCATTTTATCGGGGCAACGCTAGGGGGAGCCACCTCTGAAGGAATGCTGCAGTCCAGTAAGGAAGGAAACAATTAACCAAGTTATTACAGCATGTAATGGTATTTGAAATTAGGTTGAAGCATACACATATTTAAATGTACTTTTATTTTTTACCCCCATCCTGGCATCCAAAGCGGCCATGTGGCCTGTAGTTTGGACAGCCATGCGGACCTACGCGCCGTATGTCACCTTCCCCGTGGCCTTCGTGGTGGGAGCGGTGGGCTACCACCTGGAGTGGTTCATCAGGGGGACGCCCAAACCCCGCGAGGAGGAGAAGAGCATTCTTGAACTGAGGGAGGAGAGGAAACTGCTGGAACAAGCCGGGATGGACGGCACGCAAGTGCTTAGCCTCAAAGAGAAACTGGAGTTCACGCCGAAAGCGGCTCTGAACAGGAACCGGCCTGAGAAGAGCTAGCGCTTTCAAATACAGACAACTGACATCCATCCTATAAGCCTCTGTGCATGTAATCATGTACTTTGTGGAATGCTTGTCAACCTTTTGAACACACACACACACACACACACACACACGATTCTTCTTAGAAGACGTTTTCCTGATCCAGCGTAACTGAAAGTAAAGTCAAGCAAGGCGTGCTTGGATGACCTCATTTTTCATCTTTTGGATGAACCACAATAGATATTGTGCGCACACGTCCTCTCGGCCCCCACATCGGTGACCGGTTTCCTCACCATGGACACACATTTTTCACTTCCTGTATCTGGAACAGCCATGCGACCCGATACTAATGTCCACACAGTGTCATATTTGTGCTCTGATCTTTTGTCATTGTCTCTAATTGTGTCACCAAAGAATAATTTATTGAGTAATGTATTATGCGGAGGGGGGGCGGGGTGGATGAGCTTTTTAATGGCATGCAGGGAATCAACCAACGGTGTAGGAGGTCTGTGATGAAAATAAAGCTGTGTAGCCTTGTTATTGTGTGGAACTGCAACACTTTCCTAATGGAAAGTTATCTACTTTGCACAATGAGCCTTTCCTGCTGTGTGTCATGTGAAAAGTGGTCGAATAAAGTTTGAATTGTTCAACTCTGACCTCTCGGGAGTTAATCAGCCCTGACGCGAGTGGCTATTGTTGATGACCATGACTTCCAAGTTCACAGAAGGAGGGAAAGCAGCCAACACATTACACAGATGAAATTCAACCTCTAGAACGATAAAACGGGGATGGGACTTTTACTAAATTGTGTTGCATGGGTGAAATTCTTCTTTTGATGGGAGTGTTATTTCGAAATCTATACATACAAAATAGAAATATATTGAAAACATGCTTACGACAACATATGTCTATAAAACTAACTGCTGTACTGTATAATTGTGGTGAAAATGTTCTTCACCACATAATGTCTTACATTTTTAAACTAAAACAAATAAACCAAAAAAACTTTAAAACTAACCAACAACTAATCAAAAGTAACAGAATTAAAAAGCTACAAGTCAAAATGAAATTCAAACTAACGACCATGAAAAATTCAAATCCGTTTTTAGCCCTCGTACCGTGAGTCGTATGCAGGCTGAAATGTTCAAAGCAACATTGAAGAATCACAGTTTTGGAATGAAGCTGTGGATCTGGACCAGCTGCAAATTTAAATGAAAGCAAGTCAGCGTTTCCACATTCTCACTAAATCCACAAATATGTAGCCGATTACTCAACCTCCTTAATGACCGCCATCATAAATGGACTTGGGAAGGAAAGTTATTCAGACCAGGTGAAATGGGAAATGTGATGTTGCAACTTTGCTCTTACATTCAGGGTAGAAATAACGTCAAGCTCCTGCAAGGTACTCAAAATGATGGAGGTGACTTTGCATCGAGAGGAAGAGGGAGGGTGTATGTTTATGTCCTTGTGGGAACAATTAGAGGACAGGTAACAATGGAGCGACTCCTCCAAACTGGACAGCACTGTGGGAACTCAACACCGAGGCTCCTGGGAAAGTATCAGGGGGGATGTTGAGAGACGGGCCATTGTTCCTGCTGGATGAAGGTGGATAATGGGTGATGCTGGATGTTCTGGGTTTGTTTTGGAGGGGGGGGGCGGTGCAGCCCAACCTCCTGATCAGAAAATAGCGTTGTCTGCTTGCTGGAATGGCATATACGCCCATAAATACACACACTTTCACATATATATATATATATATATATAT